AATGAAAAATATTAATTAGTATACTTAAACTAAAAAATATTTTAACTAAAGATAAATATATTTTTATAAATAATTTAATTAAATAATATATTTATTATCTAATGTATATTGATATAATTTTTTTTTGTATATAAAACAACCATGGTTAAGTAATTAATAATAAAACAATAAATTTGAAAATTAGATTAAAAATAAAGTTTTATAAAATAAAATTGTAATAATTTGATTAAAATTTTAATTTTTTAATTAATTAAGTTAATGAGGAATTAAAACGTGATAATTTGATGTGTTTAATTTTTTTAATATACATTTTTAAAATATAATTTAATTTCAATTGTAATTTTCGATTGAAAATAAATTAAAGAATATTTATTATTAAACTTTTCTTAAACAATGTATTGAATAGTTAATATCACTCTAGTCTTAATTTATTACAATTTAAATTTTTAATAAATTTGATTTATTTTTAATAATATTTTTATTTTAGTAATTTAAAATTAAAGTTAATCTTCATTTTGTTAATATTAAGACAAAAGTTTATTTTTAAAGTATATTTTAAAAATTAAATTATTTTTAAAAAATAAATTGTAAAAATATACTAAAACAATTAAAGTATATTTATAAAAAAAATAAATTTAAATATAATAAAAAAATAATGTTCATTAGCGATCGATTTCAACTCGATCGCTATTTTCTCATTAGCGACCGATCTTCAATTCGATCACTATTTCAATTTGTAATTTGGTCGCTAAATCAGTCGTTAAATGATTTTTTTATTTTAATATGGAATAGCCACCTATTTAGCAATCGAAATTTTTGCGACACAAACTATTGGTCGCTAAATAAAAAAGTGAAACTAAATCACATTTTTGGTGGCTAAATCGGTCGCTAAATTGCGACCGAATTAACTCGGTTGCTCAATTGGTCACTAATTGCGACCGAACTAAATCAGTCGCTAATTGCGACCGAATTAAATCAGTCGCTAATTGCGATCGAATTAAATCGGTCGCTAAATCGGTCGCTAATTATGACCAAAAAAAATTCAGTCACTAATTTCGGTCGCTAAATGTATTTTTTTTGTAGTGTCACTTTTAAAAATAATCTTAAATAGAAATGATTATTATGCATGCAGACACTAGTGATCATGACCGATGAATTCCATGATAATAGCAATGGAGGCTTGTTGAAAGACATTGATTTACTATATTGGTTCTTCGTTGAGAAATCCATTCAGAATTTCTGATCTTGAGGACTTATCCTATTAATACTTTGCAAAACATCCTTTGATCGACGAATATTGAAAACCTGTGACGTACAAGAAAATTAATTGGATCTCCGGTGCCAGTTCTTTTGAAAGATACATCAAGATTCGATACTTGCTACCTTAGGTTTGAACTGCAGCTGGTTCATGAATTAAATAATGATGCTATACATAGAAAGCTAGTTGATAAAAATATAATGATACAACTGCTAAATAAGGTACATTTGTCACTCACATTAGTGACCGAAACTTTCAGTTAGAAAATTGCGACCAAATTTATCACGATAGCAATATTAGTTGTAAACTGCGACCTTAATAAGGGTTTTGTGTTAAATATTTCATTTTTACAGGCGATTTAATCAAATTAATGTGTTCATATTTTTACCTTAAAAGTTAGTTTTTTTTTTAGGTTGAGTTAAACTTAAGTGTAGTACAAGCTAAAACAGTAAATTCAAATTTTTATGTGATTAGGGCATTTATATGGTCACGAGGAATATTACAATAAAAGTAAACGGAAAGTGAAAACGTTGATGAAAATAATAAGACTTTATAAACCGTATTATATTTAATACGAAAAATCTAAATTGTTTAATCTTACAATCAGAGCTCCAAAATCATTTTCTATTATAAAGGAGCAACAAAAGCAAGTAACATCTTTTAAAAAAGAGAGTTAAGATTCCAATAATAATAAAAAAAAACATATGCATTAACAACAAATGCCTATATTTAAGTAACATCATAGAAAAAAAAATCTCCATTTTTTTTCCACAAGAACTAGACAGAACATATCTGATGTAGAAAGGAAAAGTTGAGCTATCTTGAATTTCACAAACCTCAAACCATTTAACAATCTACTAACCTAAATCAGCAAGGTCACAACATAGTGTAGGCAACTTCTATCCCTTTAATTGCACCATAGTGTCGAGGCAGAGCCTTTGTAGGGACCAAGAATGAATGAAGAAATGCCTGTCTCACGTGGCTGACAGATTGTAATAAATATGCCTAAATCAGGAAATTTATCCTTACACTACTACAAAATATACTTTCAACGTCGCAATTTAACGTCGGTTAAAGCTGAGCCGACGTTAAATACACTTTCAACGTCGATTGGTTAAAAAACGACGTTGAAAGTGGAATGTTGGACACATTCTACGTCGGTTCTTAGTCAATGACGTAGAAAGCACTTTCCACGTCAGTTCTAGATGAACCGACGTTGAAAGTCTTTTAATTTAGACATTCAACGTCGGTTCCCAGATGAACCGACGTTGAATGTGTTTTCACCCAAAAATTCTCTTAATTTCAAGAATTGTCACTGACAGGATTCGAACCCAGTATTTTAGAGTTGAAAGTTGATACTCCAACCACTAAACTACTATAATTTTCCGATAATAATTTACAAATTAATTATATTTATATACAAATAAATATATATCCGTGTAAATATATATTTATTTATATATATTTTCCGGAAAGTGTTTTTATTTTTTTCAGCCAAAAATTTACTTAAGTTCGAGAATTGTCATCGACAAGATTCGAACCCAGTATTTTAAAGTTAAAAGTTGATACTCCAATCACTAAACTACTGTAATTTTCTGATAATAACTTACAAATTAATTATATTTATATATAAATAAATATATATCCGTGTAAATATCTATAATTTCTGGAAAGTGTTTTTATTTTTTTCAGCCAAAAATTTACTTAAGTTAGAGAATTGTCACTAACAGGATTTTTTGAACCCAGTATTTTAGAGTTGAAAATTGATACTTCAACCACTAAACTACTATAATTTTTTTATAATAATTTACAAATAAATTATATTTATATACATATAAATATATATTCGTGTAAATATATAAATATAGAATATATAAATACAAATATATTTATATATTTTGATATATTTATATATATTTATATAGTTATATAGTTATATATTTATATGTTGGATGTGAAGGCGCGTTCGAGGGTGAAAGTGAGATTGACTCTCGCTTGAGTGAAAATACGTTAAAACTCACGGAAATTCACTCGTTCAAGCCTCGCTTGAGCGAAAATTGGTATTTTTCGCTTGAGCGAATGATGCGTTTCTCATATTTATTTTATATCATTAATAAATTATAAATATTATATTCCGTCATTAAATTACAAACCCATATAAAGAGACTCGCTCACAAATTTGACATCAAATTTTGAAAACTCACTCGACACACTTTCACCTTCGAGCGTGCCCTCACATCCAACATATAAATATATAATTATATAAATATATCAAAATTTATAAATATATTTGTATTTATATATTTATATATTTACACGGATATATATTTATTTGTATATAAATATAATTTATTTGTTAAAGAATTATAGCCTCAAAACAAGATTTGATGAATAAAACTATTGTATCATGTTTCATTATTAAATATTTTGTGATAAAAATAAATTAAGAAATTTATTTAAATAATAAAAAGATTGTGGGGTGTATATAATTTGTTTAGTTCCTACAAAGTGTACAAACTTGGTGAGATATATATATATAAAAAAAAAAGACAAATAAAAATATAATAGGGAATCTAAATAAAATATAGTAGAAAATGTGTGTGAAATTGAATCAAACACGTTTAACACAATGCAAACTAATAATCAATCACATTAAATGTATTACTCTTGAGTTTTGCCTGCATTCACTAAAGATATGTATTGTGGCTGGGTGTTGTCTCCCTCTGTATCGTTTAAGTAGGGACTCTATTTTATAGCTATGTTTCAGCTCAGAAATCATGCATTAAATTGGAATAGGGTTTTCATTCATGATTTGACTTAACGGTTAGGTTAACCTGTCAGTATATGATGGGTGCCAAATTCTGATCATTACTTCACTTTATAATTTACTAACATCATTTCTCATTTTCTTCATTTAATATCTACTATCACTTTAATTTGTACTTGTAAATTTTATCTAATTTATTTGAATTTAATTTTGTATTTATAAGAATTTAATCTAATTTTTTCATTTTTAAAAATATTTATGAAAAAACCTCAATAATTTCTACTTCTCAATTATGTCTCCAAAATCAACATAAAACCATGGTCAATTATATAAGAGTTTTTTTAAATGAAAAAAAAATTAACTTTATATTTTTAAAATGACAATTTAACATTACTTTATGTCTACTTTCCGGACTTTTGTACTTCTTCTATAGTTAGTTGTGGGAAACATCACAACATGTTTATTTTGGAATTTGTATTCTTCGCATCAAAATCAAGTTGCTTACCCTCTGGTTTCTATATATAGCTACTTATGGCAATTGGCAAAGTCATCACTTAGCTATACAACTATTCGATGGAGTTTCTAGAGGGCAAAACCATTTTAGTTACGGGTGCAACGGGATTCCTGGCAAAACGTGTTTCTTCTTCCAAGTTCTTATAAATGTTCTGTAGGAGATATGATTAATAGTTCCTTCTCTTTAATGTTTGTTGTTCTCTGAATGCAGTTTTCGTGGAGAAGACATTAAGGGTTCAACCAAACATCAAGAAGTTATACCTGCTTCTGAGAGCACCAAATCCAGAAGTAGCTACACAACGCCTGCACGATGAGGTAGTCATTTAATTAGTTAATTTATCTCTATGTCATTATAACTTCACATGTTATAAAATTACTTACGTAATCACTTTTATATATATATATATATATATATATATATATTAGGTTTTTTCGAAGGACTTGTTCAAGGTGGTAAGAGAAATGTGGGGTGAAGATTTTGTCTCCTTCGTATCTGAGAAAGTGTTGGCTGTTGCTTGCGATGTTTCTGTTGAGAACTTGGGAGTTAAAGACATAAAGCTGAGGGAAAATTTGTGGGAAGAGACAGACATCATAGTAAATGCTGCTGCTACGACCAAGTTTAATGAGAGGTTATTTAATATTATAATAAGATAACTAAGCCATGGACTCAATAGTTTATGTCGCGTAACCAAATATATATATATATATATATATATATATATATATATATATATATATATATATTTGTTTGTTTGTTTCTGCAGATTGGATGTTGCAATAGGGATTAATACAATGGGAGCTCTTAATGTTCTGAACTTCGCCAAGAACTGTAGTAAATTACAAATTCTTCTCCATATTTCTACTGGTACACAACTATGCATGGATACTATACAATTCGTATTCGGTTAATTTTAAAAATAAGTAGGATATTATACGTAGGTATTTAAAAATATAAAAATATTTATGAAACATAATAACTATAAAGCTATAATCATACAAATCTAAATTTAAATCGTAAAAATAAAAATTATTTTATTTACATATAGAAATAAGATTATTATTGTAAATGGGAGAGCTACCGATAGAGAATGAAGACTTTCTCATATTGATGTATGAAAACTGTAACGTTTATATACAATAGAAATAACAGACTAAACAGAAATGTGACAGTAAATCCCATGCACGTAACCATGTCCCATGCATTTTGACTTAAATCTCAACATGTCTCCTTAAGTCAAAACCGAACAATTCCCAGAGACTCTTTGAGTTTACAAAATCTAGCAGCCTTCAAAGGCTTTGTAAAAATATCTGCACTCTGATCTTTTGTACTGCAGTGTTCTACTTCAAGTTTGTTATCATTAACTTGCTCTCTCAAGAAATAAAACCTCATTTCTATATGTTTGCTTTTTCCATGAGCTGATGGGTGTTTAGCTAAGTCTATTGCAGACTTATTATCAACAAACAATGTTGGTGGTTGGACCAATTCTGCATTTAGCTCCTTCAACAGCATCCTAAGCCATGCAGTTTGACATGCAGCCTGTGCGGCAGCTATGTACTTTGCTTGCTTCACAGGAGGAGAGAGCCACCACGGGTTCCTTGACTGAATTCCAGGACACTGGTCCTTCGCCATAGTAAAATATGTGACCTGCAGTGCTTTTTCTATCTTCCCTGTCACCACACCAATCTGCATCTGCAAATCCTACCAATTTCATCTCACCCCCTAGCTTCTTGCATGGAAACATTATACCATGATTACACGTTCCACGCAAATAGCGTAAGATACGTTTCACGACATTCATATGGCTAACTTTCGGGCTCTGCATATGTCTACTAACAATGCCAACATCATAGCTCAAATCGGGTCTGGTGTTACACAAGTATCTCAGACTCCCAATGATTCTGTGAAATTCTGTGTGATCAACATCTTCCTCCTCAGTGCCCCTTTCTAATCTCAGACCCATTTCCGTTGGAGTTACTGCAGCATTGCAATTCTTCATCCCGAACCTGCTGAGAAGATCACGTGAGTACTTCATCTGATGCATAATAGTTTCAACTTTTGTGAACTGAAACTCAATGCCTAGGAAGTAGCTGAGTCTTCCCAAATCACTCATCTCACACTACAAGAAAAACATCAAATAGTGACCGAAAATTCGGTCACTAAATCTGCAAAATCGGTTACTAATTAAAATAGTGACCGAAATAGTGACCAACTGGAATCGGTCACTATTTCCTTGGTCACTGATTTTAGTGATCGATTCGATGACCGATTATATATAACCAAATCGGTCATCGAATCGATCACTAAAATTTAATCCTTTTTATTTATTTACACTTTTATTATATCTATTATTTATTTTCCCTATCTCTTAATTATATTATATTTTGCTTATTTAAGTTTTTATTTATATTTATTTCCCCTATCTCTTAATTTTATTATATTTTTTAGAAGTTTAACTTATTATTAGGTGGTTTATTGTCATTGTCAGGATTCGAACCCGTACCTTAGAGTTGGAGGCTGAAACTCCAACCACTCGAGCTACTAGGATCTTTTAATAATAACTTACAAATAAATTATATTTATATACAAATAAATGTATATCCGTATAAATATATAAATATAAAATCTATAAATAAAAATATATTTATATATTTTAATATATAAAATCTACAAATAATTGTATATTAGTATAGTATAGTATATTTGTATTCTAATTTTTAATTAAATTAAAATTATGCTAATAATGTATATTAATATATGAGGGGATAATATTGATATATTTGTATATATATATATATATATATATATATATATATATATATATATATATTATATATTGATATATTTATATTTTATATTTTGATATATTTATATATTGATATATTGATATATTTATATTTTTATATTTTGATATATTTATATATTGATATATTTATATATTTATTTGTATCCTTATACATTTATATCTTTATATATTTATATATTTGAAAAAAATATTAAATTTTAAAAATAATATTATATTTTTAAAAATAAATATTAGAAAAAGATTTAAAAATATATATAAATTATATTTACATTTACAAAATATTAAAGATATATGTTTATATCTTTACATATTTATATATATTTATATGTTTATATTTTTACATATATTTATATCTTTCCATATTTATATATTTATATATAAAGATATTAGTTTTGTATACAAATAATATTATAATATAGTATATTATACTATTAGTATAGTATACAAATAATATGTTAGTATAGTATAGTATACAAATTATTAATTTTGTAATTTATATACAATGAAAATAATATAATGGTATATTGGTATAGTATATTTGTATTCTAATTTTTAAATAAACTAAAATTACGCTAAATGTATAATAATATATGAGAGGATAATAAATTTAATCCAATTACTTTTATAAATATATAAATATAAAATCTATAAAATATTAAAAATGATATTATATTTTTAAAAACAAATATTAGAAAAAGGTTTAAAAACTAGTATTATCTTAAATTTATTAAAAGTATAATTAAATCTCTATTTTCTTAATTTTTTTTTAAACTTCTCAATTCTACATTTTTGTAAGTTCTATCATTATATTATATCATCCTCATCTCCTCCCATGTTCTACTTTATCTTTACAATAGTCAATATTCTTAACTAATTTATAGTTTTAATTATAATTTTTTAGTATATATTTCAGAAATTAATCAATTCTAATCTATTATTTGAAAAACTAATCAATTCTAATCAATAATTTAGAAAACTAATCGATTATAATTAATTATTTGAAAAAATTATCAAATATGATCGATCATTTCAAAAATATAATCGATCAGAATCAATTATCGCTCGAGCGAGACTAGACTCGCTCAAGCGAAATACAACATGAGAGTACCAATTTTGTGCAGGGGCGTTTCGCTCGAGCGAGAAAGTTGTCGCTCAAGCGAGATACAGCTTAGATAGCGGTTACACAGAACCGCTCTTAAAAGCTCACTTAGATAGCGGTTAACCGTTGAACCGCTATTATATGGTTTCCATTATGATCGGTCGAATGCAATTATGACCGATCATAACTGTTTTAATCGATTAAAATCTAGTTTCAATCGATTAAAACAATTTCTCGACAGCGTTTTAATCGATTAAAACTTATTTTTATCAGCTTAAAATAACTTGAAAACTTATATTAACTATTTTTTTATATTATGTTTTTAAATTTTCTATTAGAGAAAACCTTTCAGAATTCAAAATGTTAAATACTTTTAAATATTAAAATTAACTTTATCAAAAATTAGGAAAAAAAATTAATCCAAAAGAGTTCAAAAATGTATTATAATATTGTCAATTTTGAGTTTAATTATATGGTTCATTCTCAAAGTAGAAAAATATAATTTAAAATTTTAATACTAAAATTAAAAGATTAAATAATAATAAATTTAATTCTTTAAATTCAGTAGCTAGAAACTAAAATTATAGTTTCTCTGTTTGAAATAATTAAAATAAATATTTAAAAATAAAAATCAAAACTAGTATTATCTTAAATTTATTAAAAGTGTAATTAAATCTCTATTTTCTTAATTTTATTTGTTTCAAACTTCTCAATTCTACATTTTTGTAAGTTCTATCATTATATTATCATCCTCATCTCCTCCCATGTTCTACTTTATCTTTACAATAGTCAATATTCTTAACTAATTTATAGTTTTAATTATAATTTTTTAGTATATATTTCAGAAATTAATCAATTCTAATCTATTATTTGAAAAACTAATAAATTCTAATCAATAATTTAGAAAACTAATCGATTATAATTAATTATTTGAAAAAATTATCAAATATGATCTGGTCATTTTGAAAATATAATCGATCAGAATCGTACTTCGCTTGAGCGAGAGAAGTCTCGCTCAAGCGAAATACACCTCAAGCACTTTAGATAGCGGTTATGAGGGAACCGCTATTATATCCTCTCAATTATGATCTGGCCATTTCAAGTTATGATCGATCAGGATCGTATTTCGCTCGAGCGAGAGTAGTGTCGCTCAAGCGAAATACACACTCAGAATGCGAATTCGTGCACTTGGAGTTTCGCTCGAGTGAGAATATTGTCGCTCAAGCGAAATACGTTTTAGATAGCGGTTTCACAGGAACCGCTCTTAAAAGTGAACTTCTAATAGCAGCTTAACCATTAACCGCTATCTTAATTATACTTTAGATAGCGGTTAAGGTGGAACCGCTATCATATCATCTCAATTATGTTTTGCAACATGCCTCTACAAATGTTTTTAACAATTAAAAACAAAGTATTTTGACAAAAGCTTTCTCAAATGCCTCTACAAAGTATTTTTAACAATTATATTGAGTTTAATTCTACAAATTAAAAGATTAAATAATAAATTTAATTCTTTAAATTCAAGTAGCTAGAAACTAAAATTATAGTTTCTCTGTTTTAAATATTTAAAATAAATATTTAAAAATAAAAATTAAAACTAGTATTATCTTAAATTTATTAAAAGTGTAATTAAATATCTATTTTCTTATTTTTATTTGTTTCAAACTTCTCAATTCTACATTTTTGTAAGTTCTATCATTATATTATCATTCTCATCTCCTCGTCATGTTTCTACTTTATCTTTACAATAGTCAATATTCTTAACTAATTTATAGTTTTAATTATATTTTTTTAGTATATATTTCGAAATTAATCAATTCTAATCTATTATTTGAAAAACTAATAAATTCTAATCAATAATTTAGAAAACTAATCGATTATAATTAAATATTTGAAAAAATTATCAAATATGATCGATCATTTCGAAAATATAATCGATCAGAATCAACTATCGCTTCGAGCGAGATAGGCTCGCTCAAGCGAAATACAGGCCGAGAGTACTAATT